TAAGCAAAAAAGACATTACGGGAGTTCACTTAAGCATAAATCAATCCAGAATAGAAAGAGTACATAAATACCAATATCTTGGCATTGTCATTAACGATCAATGGGACAACACAGAAGAAATAAAGTGTCGAATTGGAAAATCCAGAAATGTATTTAATTCAATAAGTGCGTCATTTAAGAGTCACAACCTATCTCTACAGTTAAAAATACGTCTACTGAGATGCTACGTGTTCTCAACTCTTTTATATGGTGCAGAAACTTGGACTCTAACCAAAGCCACTTCGAATAAATTAGAAGCATTCGAACTTTGGTTATACAGGAGAATTTTGAGAGTATAATGGACTGAAAAAATTACCAATATTGAAGTACTGTGTAGAATGGGAAAGGAAAAAGAATTAATGATAACAGTCAAATGCAAAAAACTCCAGTACTTAGGACATATTATGCGGAACAAGAGTAGATATGAACTTCTCCAATGTATCCTAAAAGGGAAAATAGATAGCAAAAGATCGCCTGGAAGAAGAAGAATATCGTGGCTAGCCAACCTAAGAACATGGTTCGAAAAAAGTTCAGTAGAACTATTCCGGAGCGCAATTAATAAAACTCGTATATCAATAATGATCGCCAACATCCGAAACGGATCGGCACACTAAGAAGAAGAAGATACACATATAATCACAGTAGCATTGATAAGAAATCAGAAATCAAGGACTAAGATATACTACAACTAGTACCAGGTATAGTATATCTTGTTAGTCCGTGTTAGAAATTAAAATAACTATGTCAATTATAATAAAGATGTGATAAACTAGTAAATAATAAATATTAATAAATGTAAAAAAATTAATTCATGACAATTTATGTTAAAATTAAAAACCGTTTGAGCCTATGTCAGCCCTCAAGCATATCGGCCCGCCGGGAAGTTTTCTAGTACTCTGATGGGCCAATCTGGCCCTGTAGGTATATAACTTATAAAAGTTAATATATATATATATATGATTTATGATCGAAAACAGTTTTATTTATCGAATCAATGATTTAAATCTAAAACCTATAATAATATATATGTACACAACGTGACGTTCAATTTTCTACTAAGAATAACGTTGTTGTACACTTATTTTGTTTTGGTCGAACGAATATCGCAGGATCTGAACTAGCTAGGAAGGCAATCGTACATCACTTTAGACGTCTCCTGGTGTAATACTATGTATATAGATGTGTATGTATGCATATAAATTCAAAGAGTTTACGATTTCAATCTTCAAGTCGTTGTTAAATGTTGTTGTTGTGGAGCTATAATAATTTTTATACCAATAGTTATATGAAACCCCATTTATTCATAAAACAATTTTCTCTTCTTTAAAACTTTCCACTTCCTGAAATCGTTTCAATAAAATCCATTCGATTATCATTGCTTCATATAACTTGAACATTTTCTTTGTCAATTTGATATTGATATATGATATTTAATACAATTGGAAAGCTTACCTAGATATTAGATTTAAATATAATTATATATGTGTAGATAGTAATTAATTATATTATTTTCTCAGGAATAATTCAAAAATAAAATTCCTTATAAACTAAACATCAACTGAAATAATATTTTTTAATTATTATTTGGAAAATATTTTTGTTTGTTTGAATTTTCAATTATTAACTTACTCACGGATATTACGGCACCATTTAATAATTGAGTGGTCATATCTCATTAAAAATGTGAAAATTTTAATAAATCATTTTTCTTATTTAATTGGATAATAAAGAAAAATTATCAAAAATAATATTAGTATTGAGTAAAACATTAATCATCCAAAAATGTATTGACAGTTATTTCGCGTGATTGCAAAAAAAATATAATAATAAAAAAAATAGAATAGTTATTTGCTATATTTTTATTGTAGATGCATTTCAAATAAAGTCAATAATAAATAATAATGTTATACAAAATGAACGGAGGGAAAAATCATTTTTCTTCCTTTCTTTCTCTCTTTTCCCTCGCGTGTCTTAATATTAAAGATATTGAGTATATATTATGATTTATGATTCACATGTACAATTTTGTGGTATACTGTAAGCAGGTGGTCGGAGGAAGAGAAATGTGTGAGGAAGAGAGTGAAAGAGGGAGAGTGTTCGTTAATCGAATATTCGGGGAAATTCAGGCAATTAGGTAAAAATTGTGGATAGTGCGTGACGGTGTTATCGGTTCCCAAAAACTGTTATGCTGCGACATGTGTCGAAAATTATATAACGAGGCTGGCCGAGCAAATGTCTCCACCAATAGCACCGGAGGTCTAATAGGCCAAAAGGACACGTGTGCAGCAAAAGGCTCATACAAGAAATGTTCGATAATGGGTAAAAAAATATATCGAATCGGTCTTACTAATTGTTCAGTTTTTCTGGCCTTGAAACAAAATGGTATGAAATTATAGCAACGAGTTTTTGGCCATTCGGACTAAAGTTACGTAGTACACATATACGAGACATATATATAAACACATAGATAGATTTAAAGAGATAGATACTTTAAAAGTTTGATTAATTATTTATTTTTATTTTTATTTGTTACTAGATGTTAAATTGGAATATAATATTACACTTTTTGTAAATGTGTGAATTATTTAAAAATCGTTCAATAATAAATCGAAAAAACAAGATATTTTGTAATATATATAATACTAAAATATGGTATGCTGGTAAGCTAGTGTTTTAACCAAACTTAACTCACTTTAGATAATTATGGTTAGTCCTTATTGGACACACAATTGAAAGTAACCGAATGCAGATGAATATTGCAATCAATATACATTTTAAAATAATCTTAAAACACGCACAATTAAGAACAATATTTAATGTACAATGTAGAATCGATATTATTGCAAGTATTTTACATGTATGGGTCACCTTTGTCCGACTTCCCAAGATATCAATACAAATTTAAATTTAGTTTTAATTATACAGCTAATGTTATTTAGTCTTTGAGCGAAAGCGGTTGGAAAATGTTAATTTTATCGACTAGTGTTAAGATTATCCATTTGTATTGGTGGCTAAATTCTAAAAGTTTGACATATTAAGTTTAGCCATCCTTTGGACATTGGCCATAACATATATATATATATATATATATATCAGTGTACACATGTGTACGTATGTATGTAAATATGTAAAATTAAAATGAATCTATATGGTGAGATTGGTGGCACATTGAAATCAAATAAATATAACTGTTTATAAGTGCACTATCTATTTATATACGTATACATCTTACGCACGTGTGTGTGTGTGTGTGTGTGTGTGTGTGTGTGTGTGTGTGTGTTTGTAATACCGAATACAAAAGATGAAAACCATATTCGTTTGTTTTACATTGTAGTTCGTTCCTACACGTTAGATTTCATTCGAATGAAGTTATTGTACTATACTGGCCTACAGATATATATTTTCGTGTCGATAATAGTAATATTATTATTATTATTAACGGTGGTAGCTCGTTCTCACGCCCTTCGCCTCAAACATGCATACAACACACCTCGTCTAGCCGGCGACAACATCAGATCTTTAGACCTTTGATTTATTATTATTGGTAACAGTTACGTTATTATAATATAGAATAGCATACTCGTATGGGTGTTGTAGTAGTATAATAATAGACAATATTAATGGTACAGAGTATAATATTTATATGCATACAATGTGTACGTATCATGAATATATTATATTGTGTTATTATACGCCTATGCTTTCTACGAGTTTTACCCAGTTTTACCCCAGTACGTTTTTCTCTTTTTCTTCAGCACTTAGAATAATTATTTTATAAGTTCTTATGCACATGATTTTTAATTTTAACATGTTTTATCTATTTCTTTAAACATTCCAATGAATATCGTATTATTTTTGGAAACCGGAGAACTTAATATTGTGTTCTATTATAAATTAGTATAGTTAAAAATAATTCTTATTTACGATTCCCTTGTTAAGTCATATTTATATTATTTTTTTAAATTAAAATTAAATATTTAAAATGTATATTTTAGATGTAATAGAAATTGTTAAATATTTCAAAAACTATAACAGTAAAATGAATTAAAATAAAGAAAAAACTTAACATTTAAATAAATTTGAGATTTTTAAAATTAATTTTCATAAAAATCATATCAGCATAAATCATTTTATGAATATCAACACAATAAACAAATAATAAAAAAGTGTTTTGCTATCAGTTTTTGATAAAACAAAAAAAAATAAGTGAATAATGAAAAAAAGATTTATAATTGTAAAATGTATTTTTAATATTGATTATTTTTAAATTAACTTTTTTTTTTTTTTAAATCGATTTGGAATGAAATGGCTAAAATTAAATTAGAAATCATTAACTAGAATCGATTGTTTGGATTTTAAGACCAAACCTTTATGATATTTTGCTCTCGTTACGAGATGATTAAATATGTTTTATTTTTAATTTATCTATATCTATAATCCCGATTTTTACATACCGAAGTTCTATACACTAGCACTCGTTCGTATTTATTCTTGTAATCATTGGAGTTAATTATTATTATACATATTTCTGTAGTTATTACTTGCTGATCTAAATTTTTATAATTTCTATACATGCTACATGCTGACGCGTATCCACTGTGTACTTATTTACCTATATGATAGGGTTAGAACTAAAAAAAATTGTGATAAATGAATAGCTAAACGTATCACGGTAAATAACTATACGGAAACTTTGACTGCTACTGCATTGAAATGTTACCAGACGTCCGTTTTAGACACTAAATATATATGCATTCGAAACCAAACATTATAACGAACATTATACCACTCAACGTGCACACACCGAAATATTACAATATTCAAACGATTAATTATTAAAAATTACATAAAGAGACATAAAACGAGAAAGTTAATAATTCCGTTTGACCCTATAATAATAAATATCATCGCCGATATTGCAATCGGAAAAATAGGAATGTAAAAAAACAAACGTACACTGGTTTCGATATATAAAAAAAAAAATGGTTTGTATTTATGTATAGTGAAGAAAGGAAGAGACGTGTTTAAGTACAACAGCAAATAATGTGATTGTTATACGATCAGACGTGGTGAACGGGAATGGTGGTACCAGCGGCTTTGAAACCTTCGGCGCCGGCGGAGTAGTGGACAGCTTGTACGGCACCGTGGTCGTCGACGTACGAGTAGCTTCCTTTGGTTTCGCCGTCAGCGTAACGGGTCTCGGATTTGGCGGACGATCCGTCGGTGTAGCCGTACGTGTACTGGCCATGTTCGTCTTGCGAGTGGTACTGGCTCTTGACTGGGGCGACGGCCACGTGGGCGACTGGGGCGGTCGAGTACACATGCGGCACTTCAACAGGCGCGGAAAGGACGACCGGGGCCGGGGCCGGGGCGTAGTGGCTGACGATCGGTGCCGAGTCGTGTCGGACCACGCTGGTGTAGGAGCTGGCCACCGGTACGGGAGCGGCGTGGGCGGTCAAGGCGTACGGGGCGGCCAAGTGATGGAGCACTGGTGCTGGTGGGGCAGCGTATTCGGTGTGCTTAACGGAGACGGTATGGGCCGGTGCTGGTGCGGCGGCGTACGAGTAGACCGGGGCGGGTGCGGCGTACGAGTGGACGGTCAGGTGACGGGCATCGACGATGGCTGGTTCGGCGGCCGCGAGAACCGGAGCCGGTGCCGCGTGGTGGACGACCGGTACGGCGTGAGATGCCGTGTTGGTGTCAACGGGTAGGTTGGTGCCAGCCACGCGGAAACCGTTGGCCGGGTCGGAAACGTAGGACAGCGATTGAACGAGACCGTTGGCGTCCACGTACGAGTATCCACCTCGGGTCACTCCGTCTGCGGTGCGCTGTTCGTGCTTTGCCGATGGACCGCCAGAGTATCCGTAAGCATACTGTCCGTGTTCGTCTTGGGAGTGGTATTGTGTGGTGACCGGTGCATGGTGTAGAGTCGGGTATACAGCGCTTCCACTAACGGCCACAACGGCTGCTGCTGCGAATAACTGCGCGCAAACGAAAAGAAATCGATTTATTAAGATATTCAAATATACTTTTTATCAGTATTATAAATTCTTATCATTGTTTATGGATCGGTAACCTTGAATTAATCCCTAGTGAGAGTCTCGTTATACACCCCTTCGCTGTTCCCAGGCTATTTCGGGAGCACATTTTTCCCTATTCCTTTGACTACGTTTCGATTTAAGATTTTCCCTCGTATATATTTCCGTACAGCAGTCTGGCTTTGATAATTTTTCAGACAGCCATAGATGCATATAAAAAACAGATGATATTCGTCTGTCGAGATGGTTGTATTTTTGTTAGTTTCAACAATCAGCGGTACGCTATGCGATTTTTCGGCAAAACGAATATTTTCATGTTCGCCTCTCGCCCGAGTGAATTATTACAAGAACGCAGTACATGGATCGGGAGAGTGTTCGGTGAGCCGAAAGAGGTTTGATAAAAATAAAAATAAAGGAAAAAACTAATGTACCGATTAGTTATTATCGTTTTGAATGTTTACAAGTTTTTACGTTACGAATTCCGCATATCGTGTAGCACAGCGTTTTGGCTGCAGGAACGCGACAATAAATTAAAGCATATCGTATCGAACTGATAAGCTCTGTCGTTGTCGGTAAAGGGGGAGGGTGGACGTGAACTGTCAACGAGTTATTTTTGTACTTTTGATAGACGATTCTGTGGGTGGTATGTAGGGACGTCCGTTAAAGTTTTGATTGTTCATCGTTTTCAACAACTTCCATGTGTGATCACCCCATTGTAATAAACTGTATATTATTATTATTATTGTACGATATATTGCGAAACGTTTATGATAACAACATCGAGCTTTTTCCCGAGACGATACACCACGGACCCGTCATTTTTGGAACGCATTGCAGTCACCCTGCGTACACGTGGAAACGTGCAAAAACCCGAAATGATTATTGTATTGGATACTTCAAGCAGACGAAGATTGTGTCGCATATATATTGTACAATGGTCGCATGTAAGCGTACGTATACGAGTGGTAGCTGTATAGTAATGATATATTCTAATTTATGTAAGTACACACGCGTGTTTGCACGGCGTCAGTGCAATACTCTTGAACTTTGATGATAAACTGCACACGTTCTTGACACCGCGTTGATAAAATTCCGCGTGTCGCTGTCCCGTTTAAATTATAAGCAAACATTATTCATGGACGCCATATAATTTCAAAGAATAATAACCGTATACTTTCAGCATTGGCCTAAGCGATTTCTAAGCCGATTTTTGACTGCTAAAATATTCCTATCACGCCCCCTTTCTTAGACTACCATAACACGTATACGTATACGTAGACGTAATCGAAAAACCCTATTCGGTCGTCATCCCAGACTAACATGCGTGTTGCGAGAAATCGAAAAAGATTAACGGTTGTGTTATAGAAAGTCGAAAACGGTTAAAAGCTCGAAAGGGTTGTGCATACAAGACGAACTATATTAGGTACCAACTAAATAGTGTGCAGGAGGAGTAATAGCGAACGTACGTAATGTAAAAACTAAAATGTGGGTACTCACCAATAGGCTGGAGTTCATATTTCTGGATTTAGTTGGTTGCTGTTGACTTCGAAGTCTTCTAGTTTATGAAACCAATAAGACTGAATACAAAACGGCACTAAATCGTTTTATCACAGTAGCAATGGACTAGTACTGATTGCCAATCGACAATGCTATGATGATGGTTCGGACAACGCGTGGATATTTATACGGGTTTTTGAAAACGAAAAAAAAACAAAACGTTTTGACCTTAGCACGGGCTCCGTGATCGTACGGCGGTGGGATTATAGGCGTTTGCCATCGGCGTGGTCGCGGAAGTCGCCCCGGAGGACAAATCGTCGACCGACAGCGGCCCTGCCCTTTTGCCCGCGACTTGGACTCGCCCAAACCCACTCTCGAAGTCCGCAGTCCTTTCACCCTGTTGGCCGCGTACCGGACCTGCACGTCATGACGTGCAACCGGGGTTATGCGCTACTGCCACTGCACGCAGTCGATTCGCGTTTTCCACTCGAAATCCTTTTATAGTTTATTTCAGCCCGAGCACCGGATGACGAATAACAATGTTGTAATGCGATCGATTATTGACTGTACATACAGAATACATCTTCGACTCCGTAAGAATTTTTCTACGCGAAGTTTTCATTCGCGTGAGTAGGATCCATTTCGTAACCATTCGTTTCATCTGTATGCGAAATCGTTCCTTTTCGTTCAACAAGTCGTTGTCGCAAAAGCTACAGAACACATGACGCACAAATGTCATGTAGGTTGGCCGTCCAAGCTCACCGAAATTGTCTAAAACTGGGCGAGTTTTGCTCATCCGATTGGACAGAGAAATAAAATCAATCACTTTCCTCCAAATTTATTTATGTATATATATTTGCGTGTTAGTTATAGAATGTAGGGTTTAATACGAATCTTATTGTTTTGTGAATATGTAATATTGGTTTTCCAGCACAAAGTTTATTTTATAAGATATGAAAAATGTACATTTTATTTTGCATTTATTGATTTTTTAGAGCATTTTTCGATAATTTTTTCGTGTTCAAAAGCATTTTTTTTCATATTTTATTAAAATAGATAAGATGTAAACAAAATTGAGTGTAAATTATTCTTAATTATTAAATTTATTGCAATTATAACTGTTGTAGGTTTTTACGCTTACGCGTATTGAAAAAAAATTCTTACTTCTATTTTTATTTTGATTTTAACGATTGTACTAGAGTAATGCGGCTTTCTCAATTGTAAATTAATTTTTTGGAAAAAAATTTTTGGACAGTTATAATTTAATAATTTAAATTATATATATAAAAGTTGATTTCCATGTTAAAATAATTTAAAGTGTATTATTAAATAGTTTTTTTTTCTAGAAAATTTTTTTATTTTTTAGAGTATTTAAATCAACAGCTTAATAATAATATGTAAAGTAATAAATTTGTTTTTCTAGTCGGCACAATGTGGTAACGTATTTATACCACGAGTAGGTATACGAGTAGAAAAATAAATTCTTATAGGTATACTCAAATTTTGACGTTGCATTCCAAAACGCCTACGAGTAAGGACCAAATTCAAATACTCACCATTGTATTCTTTGTATTTTATGCCTCTTCCACCATAGCACCGTATTGTAAATACTTATAAGGTTTTGCAAAAAATAAATTTCAATTTTAATAGGTAGGTACCTCTTTACGGCAGTCTATGATAAATTGCGAGCAACAATCAACATATATTGTTTATGTGCGTTTGAGTGATTTTATGTGTACCTTTTATACATGTTTTATGTTAAAATTACGTTTTATATATTCCATATGTTGTTATGTAAATTATCATCTTCAATACATTTTTAAACCTCACAGGTTCATTATAAAATGTTCTTTCAATAAATCTATTTTTATTCCCAATAGACATTGAATAGTTCAAACGATAGTATTTAAAATTTAGTTATGTGTGGTTGATTGACAACAATTATTTTGCTATTAAGCGCAATTTTTTTAATACATTTATGATTGTTTCAATAACACATAGTTTTATATTTATTTATATATTTGAATTTATATAGGTTTGAACATAGGTAATTAAAATTTTAGAATACATATATGTGAACACATTTGGTTATAATGTTTTAATAGACCCATCAAATTTTCTTGATTAATATGTTACTGAGGTACAAAAAAAATGCATTAAGATATTTCAAGCCAGTGGCGTAACTGGGAAAAAATCTAGGGGGGGGGGCAATATAATATATTTATTATTACCAAAACCCTGACACCCCTCCCCCTCACCAGTTAAAACATATTTTTATTGTATGTATTTTATACACTATATCTAATTGTTTGATTTTACATAAGTCTTTTAACTTATTTTGTGGTCTAGATTAACATAAATTGTAGGTAGCAGGTACTAGATACCAATATTGTTAAATAATACCCATAAGAGTTCATTAATAAAAGGTGCTATTTATACTGTTAGATTATCCGGGGGGGGGGCAAAATTATATCTTTATCTTTCAAAAAATTGTCACGGGGGTACTTTATCCCCCCCCTCCCCCCCCCCCCCACAATTACGCCACTGATTCAAGCTATAGAACATGTATAGTAATGATAAAACTGTAATGTAGAAAATACGAGTAAGTCATAACATGAATTGACTTAACTGCATTGAAATAATATTTGTGAAATTCGTTCGTATAATATGTAAGTACATTTCCCAAGTGTTTTTCTGTGTAAATAAACTTAATTTTCACATTCCTATTGCACACATTAAACATGTCGATTCAAATTTTTTGAGTACAATAACTTGTAGTTCTTAAAAATTTATAAAATAAGTAGGTTGAAACACTACGTTCCAACGTGATCGAAGGTATTTATGTTATTTTTAAACCTCGGGGACCCTTAAGCGTTTAATGTTTTTTAATTCTAACTTTTAAATCATTTTGATTTTACTAGCTAAAATACCATACTATTGTAACAACGAAAATAAACAAAACAATTTTTTGTAAAAATTAGTACAATACATAAGTACTTTCTTATAAATAACAATTATTCAGTGAATGTGTTGTATTCATTTGCGTATTGTATCCTTAGAAATGTGTACAATATAAAATTAGTTTGTATAATTAAACACTCATGTTCTGTACCCCATATAAAAAGTGTCTACTGCACACGTTAATGAGCTCTAAGTGATTTATGTCCTTCGATTATTACAATTAAGATATTATACTTTAGATTTAAACTGGTTTCTATACCTTTACAGCTTTACTATTTATATTGTATTATAAGTTATAATTCCATATGGACATACTATTATTACATTATATTACTGTTATTATATTTGCATTGAAAACCTTCACTATCGTTATTATATAGTCTTCACATTATTGCCCGAAACAATTATGTTTTAATATCGATGATTTGTACTTATATGTATGATTTATTTGATTGCACGATTTAATTCGAGTAGAGTCCAACAATAAATAAATTTGGGTGTAATGTTAGAGTGCTTCCATAGAGTACACCCTGGGTAACGTTAGTATCACATACTAACAGCTAATGCTCTAACAATCTTTCAGCAGCCAAACCAGTGATTTACATCATCTCCTGGCTTCTAATGGATTCTCCAATTTATAGTGGAGTCTCTCTCTTAAATAAATAAATAAATACATTTTTATAACAACATTCAAGTGATAAATATTATGTTATACAACAATAACAGTAAGTATTTAATAAAATATGCAATAGGATCTTTTTACAGTGTGTGCGTACTATACAAATATAAATGTTATAATAATATTGTGTTCAAATGTAAGTATTATTTGTACTCAGTTATACGTAGATGCATGATTATAATTTTAAAATCTTAACATTGGTATTATTCAGCGTACATTTTATATTCGTACGAAAAAAGAAAATTGGAAAGAAAAAACTATAAAATTAGTAAACAATGCTTTTTAATTATAGCTGCATGAATACAAATACACGGGTGAAATAAAAATTTAACTAATTAGTTTGCCAAAAATATAATACAATACTATAATAGTACTCGCGTACAATAAGTTTAATATATGCCAACAGTTTTCTTCGCTTGTCATTATACAATTTTCTTGTCGAGTCTCCAAAATCAAAATCAAAAATTAAAACTATACAGAATATCGTTAATAATTTCACCGTATTACTACAATACACTATAGCATTATTATCTAATTAAACATGGACTTACGATTTATACAAGTAATAGCGGGTTAACTGAAATTTGTTCGACAAGGTAATGCCGTGTACGTGGGGGCAGAACTAGGAGGTGGAAGACGGGGATTGATCCCCGGGCGTAAAATATTAGAGGCTGTAATTTTTGTAATTATTAACAATTAATTTACTATTTTTAACTTTGTTAAATACTGATATTAGGTTAAAACTTAATAAGTATGATTGTATATTAATTATTAGAAAAAAATTCTCGGGAAGAGTATTTGATTATTGGTCTATAATAGGGCGTAATTTTAAAATTTTCTCCAGGCATAAAAATTCCTAGTTCCACCTCTGCATGTATGAAGTCATTACAAGTACGTGCGTAAATTAATTATGTTTACGTATGTTTAATCTGTATGGTAGACTGTAATACAATTTGGAGAGTATTTTACTATCCACGTATGATTAATATACAACACGCGACAATGGACGTTATAAGATTGATTATAAAATATTATTTGATATTATTCTTTTAGTACCAAATGACTCGCATCGCATAATGTTTTGAGCAAAAACGAATACCGTGATTAAAAAAGACAAAATTTGTAAAAAAAACGTCTTTGCCGTATTGAACACTTTACGATGTAAGCAATATTATACTGCATACTAATGTACCGTAACAGATGTTGTATTGATTTACATGTAGGCATGTGTAGAAACACCAAACGCAATGTTTTCGAATCGCACCGAGAATCGGAAGAAATAATTCATTCGATCGCCTGGCTCAGGTACCTGTGCATAACATATTGATATAGTATGTACATTTTATAAAAGCGCAACGATTTTTCCCGACTGTCCCGACCGCTCCGACTCAGACCGTTTTTTCGATACTGGCCCTATGGCGACGGTGAGTTGTCGGCAACAGACACGTATAATACTGGACGAGCGCAGGATACACAAACGTTAGTGAACAGAGGCGATGGAGTTTACCAAGGAAAGCTGACGAGAGAT